TTCCAACGCAAGGGCGCTATCCGTAAGTAAATTGCAAACAAGTATCAAGCGAGAGCCCGACTCCAGAGCGCCGAGAGAACGATTCCGAAATAAATTGACAGTAAGTCCTAAGCGAGAGCGCGATTCCTGAACAAAATGCGAGGAAGTCTCAGGCGGGAGTGGGGGTCCTGGCTCAATCGCGAGAAAGTCTCAGGCGGGAGCCGTTGTTGTAATCCGGGGGGCCAGGGGCCCAGTTTGAGCACCAAGACTTTCCCTGACAAAAAACAGGGTGCGAGCGTCGAGGGGCACACTTCGATCGAGAAAACACAGCATGCACCGGTGAGGGGGACCAACAATTATTATTCTTCAGAAATGAAAACTCAACAGCAGCAACAGCAGCAACAGCAGCAACAGCAGCAACAGCAGCAACAACAACAAAAACCGGCACTCGGAAAGGAAAACGCCCCCAGCGTGCTATGCAGGATCTGAGGGAGCAAGGCTGGGGGAGAAAAGTCGACTACACGCAAGAGTGACCCTGGGTAAGGGTGACCTCTGGGGCGCGGCTTTCTGGGGGCCGCGGGGGGACCAAACCTGGGCGCGCACGCCGCTGCCCCTGCCTCGTTTCGAGCTCTCTGGGGGCCCACCCGTGCCCGCACCCAGAGGCCACTCCGGCGAGAGGTCACTCTTGCGTCTGGTCGACGAAGGGGGGGGGGGGGGGGCGGGCAGCCCGCAGGGCGGCAGGGCGGGAGGGGCCCGCACGCAGGGAGCAGCATGGCCCCCGATGGTCCGCTACCGAAAATTTCCGGTAGCGCTCCCCAGAGATCGGTCGCTACCGAAATACCGAAATGTAGCGCCCAATACCGGTATCAGAGCGTTCTGAAATCCGCTATCTCAACGCCCTCCAGCGAAGATCCGGTCGCTACCGAAATTCGGGGTGCGTCGAAATCGCTACCGAAAGTTTCCGGTACCAGACCATCTGGGGCCGCCCGAGCCCCGGGGGCGGCCGCGGCCCCGGGGGGCCCGGCGGGGGGCCGGGCCTCTCGGAGGCGACTCCGACGGAGCGGGGCGGCGTCGCAGGGCCTGGCCGCCGGGCCCGCCTCTCGAGGGCTGCACACGCCGTGGGGAGCTCTCGGAGCCGCGACGCGGTCAACCCAGATGGTC